AAATATTTCAACTAAATATCTAAGAAAAAAGTGCTATTATGACTATTTTTGTACCTTGAAGGATGTTTTCATATAGCCATTCAATTCTGCCTCTATTAACCACACGTAGACACCAAAGGAAAACCCTCCCCCCACCTTCTAAAAAATACTTACCTCTAGCTGAATGTCCTTCAAGGGCATCAGAGGTGTTTGCCGGTGTCCCCATTTTCTACCATTAGGGAAAAAAAAAAAAAGAGCGTTGGGTAAAGATAATGATAAAGTCCTGTGAGATAATTACTGGAATATTTTGGAATACTGTGCTGTTACCAATACTTTCTCATTGTCCCACACAGCCTACCCTCATTTCTATTTCAGCTTCCTTCCAAACAAGTCCCTTCTACCCTCGCCCTCTCAATCCCTTGCTCTCACATTCCTTCTTATTCTTTTGCTCTCTTCTTTCCATTCCTTCGTTTCTCTCTTCCTTCCTTCCTTCTCATCTATTTCTCCCTCTCCATCTCTGTCTCTTTTCCCATTATTCCTTTCTCAAAATCACACACCTTTGTCAGTTTCTTTCTCCATATCTGCATCTGTTTCCTTATCCTTCACTCCCAATACTTCTCTTCCACCCTCTCTGGAGGATTTTGATTGTGTCACGGTAAGATTTACGTGATCCTTCCTTAAGGTTCTGTAATATTCTTATGATCTACACCCTCATCATTGGCAGTTAATTAGTAGTCAGTTTTCTATACCTATCCTACCCCCCACTTCATACTCTGTTGGCGACGACGACTGATGTCCCCTCTGTTTCCTTTAAATTCCGTGTGATCTCCCCCCCACCCACCCCCTCAAAAAAAAAAAACTTCCATCCCCAGGGATAGTGGATTGATTGGTTCCTGAGCTCCCTGCCCTCTCACACTGCCATCCCTTACTGTCTCCCCCCCCCCCTTCCTTCCACCCTAAAAACCAACAGAAATTCATCTTCATACCTTACAAAGTAAACAGCAACTCCAGCTATCGCACATCCTACGAGAACTGAAATAGTGAGCCCGGCAATTTCTACGCTACTTAATTTTCTTTCTTGGGTCGTTGTTGTTTGGGTCTCTGAGGAATAAAAGAGAGAGCAGTGATTGAGGAGTCTATTTCAAAAAAAGACTTTCACACAACTAAACCAATAATAGAAAATTATCACAATCACTGATCAAAACTTTGGGTAAGATGTATTTTCACAACATAAAAAGTTAAAAATGTTTTCTGATTGTGTTTTCCCAAATATATTAAGAACACATGCGTATAGGTTAATGTTACTGTATATACAGGAGGTGATGTGTCTACAAACTTGAAATTGCAGGAACATCCGCCCTAGAGGGCATTGTAACTGTTTTCAAGAGCAGCATGGCTCAGTCCAGCTTCCCTAACACATGGAAGATTGCAAAAGTTAATGCAATCTTTAAAAAAGGAAACCCAGCAGATGTTTCAAATTATAGGCCAATATCACTTTTAAATATCCCCAGCAAGCTGCTCGAAAGCCAGATCTGCAACATAATTGATACCCATCTGAACAGCTGTGGCATAAAAAGCTGTAAACAGTGGGGGTTTAGCAAGGGACTATCGACTGAAGGAATGCTTACCTCTATGACTGAAGGATGGAAGACAGCAATTGACAATGGTCTGACAGTTGGAGCAGTCTTTATTGACTTCCAGAAAGCTTTTGACACTGTCCCCATTATATTTTATCGCATAAACTACACGCCATTGGAATATCAGGATCTCTTCATGAATGGCTAATGAGCTATCTTACTGATAGATGTCAATTTGCTGAAGTTAATAATTGCAGGTCGGTCACTGACTATGTGCGATATGGAGTCCCTCAAGGCTCGCTTCTTGGCCCCGGCTCTACACCATATATGTTAATGATCTCCTGACCACATCGACTCGGGAGATCTATACATGTATGCAGATGACACTACAGTTTACTGTATTGGACCAAATGTTGACCAGGTTATGTTGTCACTAAATAAATCATTGGAGCAAGTTCTCCTGTGGAGCATTAAGAATCAGCTAACCATCCACCCAATTAAAACTGAAGCAATGATACTAAGTAAAACCTCTTTTGTTGGGCCTATACCTCCCCTCCACTTTAACACTGGCCATATCGACCTGGTTAATTACACCACTTGTCTTGGAGTTAAAATTGACAATAAGCTGACATGGTCTGTGCACATTGACTCAGTGAAGAAATCTTTTACGCAGAAGGTTGGAGCGTTGAAGAGAATGAGAATCCTTCCGAAGAAGGTTCTCGAGGAAATATACTTTAAAACAATTATCCCCAGTGTAACGTATGGAATTTCGGTATGGGGAAATTGTTCTCCTTCCGCACTGAACTCTCTAAACCATATTCATGCAAGAGCAGCTCGTATTGTGAATAACCTCGACTCAACGATGGCAGATGACACATGTCTCATGAAATCCGACTGGCTGCCCATCTCTTACTTCTATAAAAATCTGTACTGTTCCTCTTGCACAAAGTATATTTTGGAACAACGACCCAGTCGATATGTGAACTGTTTTCTAAAAGAGTTTCTTCTAGATCTTCTCGTGTTCCTAACCAATTTAATGTCATTAGATTTAGATCAGAGACCGGCAGGAACTCCCTACGATACAGAGGTCCTGTTATTTGGAATTTTGTAAATAGATTAGTTAAAGTACCTGAAAGTTTTTATTCTTTTAAACAAATCTTACGTAAACATGTTAAGACTATTGACAATTTTTCATTTGAGAAAGAGGCAACAGTAGTTGCCAACAGAAAGGACCATTTCATTTACTTTTAGATTTATATGTTAGTCTTAGTGAACACCATTTTATTTGTATATAGTAGTTCTAAGTTATTATTGCAATTTTATATATATGTAATTCCTAATATTTAGTATAGTAGGTCCACATCAGCCCTTTGGCTGCCTTTCACACAACCTACTTATCAAATAAAGAATGTATGTATGTATGTATGTAAAAACTATAATTGTCATGTCTTCTAATTTTTCGTCATTGTATTTGTGCTTATAGAACATTCATTATTATTATAAGTTTCTTTTTTTTTCTGATAGGCATAGGTAATTATTATTGTGGGTATTTTCAGCAAAATATTTGTAATCCTTTGAGCTGTAGTTTTGTTATTTTATTGTTCAGGTTCCTTTTGTTTGGTTCATAGTTTTCAAGGTTGTCACCCATCAGGTTTAACCCTTTAATCCCTCTCTAACTTCCCTCTGGCCAACATGGTATGCGCATGAAATCACGTACTGACCAGGATTGCCCCGCTATGATGAGGTATCTGCCGGCTGAGAGACAATTACCTTTTGTCATCATCATGGTGGCATTAGATCAAATCTCTATTACCAGACATCACTATGAGAAGCACTCCCCTCCCAAAGAGATCGAATGATGAATAATAGCAAAGAACAAACAAACAAATTATTTCAAGAGGGCCCCATCTCATCTGAGTGTGGTAAAAACTAAAACCAAGTACCAATGATAACAATTAAATTGCCCAATCATGGAACAAAAAATCACAAGGAGCAAATCAGAACTCAAAGTAAAAATAATTAAAGTGTTAAAAGCCTTGGAAATGCGTGTAGCCAAGGCACCATTGGTTTCTAGTTTTGCATCTGAATAGTAAAGAAAATGGCATGATTTTCTGGACTAATCACAGTGGATAGATAAAACAAAACCCATGAAATCTTGCTTTACTTCAGACAATATATTGAATTTTTTTTCAGAAAACCCTTTCCCGAAAGAAAAAAATCACTCAGATTATCTCAATCATTAGAGAAAAATATAAAGCCTGTAAACTATGAGTTTACCACGATTATTTAGCCTTAGACCACAAGTTTTGTGCCTGAATGATTTTCAAATTGAAGTATAGCAGACTCAATGATGAACAATTTTCAAATTGAAAAAAGTCCAGTTTGAAGTGTACACACCCAGACATGATTGTGTTCTAAAAAGAAATTTTAGGTATCAAGAATTAAGGTTTAAAACCCACCTCCCATTCCACTGATACATTCCTGAGACCCGAATTGCCCGGAAAGGATATTGAATAATCTCTTATCACCTTTGGTAGATTGACTGGATCTGTAATCAAAATGATTGATGTCATCTACAGCTGTAGAGGGGTGGAGGGAATGGAAGAATATGGTAAAGGATTGCGAGATTGGAGAGAGGGTTAATCAAGACAGAAAAAAATTGGAGCAAAGGATGAAGGGAGGAGAGTTAAAGTGAAGTTAAGGAAAAGAGAGAGAAAAAGATTGTAAAAGGAAAGGATGGAATTAGAGTGAAGGGAAAGGAGGGAAGATCAAGAAAAGGTCAGTAAATGGGGGTATAGTTTAGGGAAGTGACCTGCCAGGGGCCTGTTTCTCTAAGGTCCTTGTACTTTATGGCCCCTATGGCTGTTCTGTTTTCATTCCAGATGGGAGTTTCAAAAGTTTTGAAAACTATACAAACAAAACTATCAGCTAAAGAAACAGAATGGACTGGTTAGGGTGCTAGAACTTGCTCTTGAGAAACAGGTCCCACAAGACAATTAGGCTGATGAGAAAAGAAACAAAGAGGCAATGTGTGCAAGAAGGTGGAAGACAAGAGGGAGAAGGTGATGAGGAAGTCCTTAGAAAAGAAGAGTCAGAGTGACCAATGGCAAAAGAGAAAAATGAGCATAATGATAGGTACATGGCACTTAAAAGGTTAAAGAGACATGGCACTTTATACTCTCAAGAAAAACAAGAATTGCTTACTCATATTGGATGCCATTGCAAATACACCCATCAAAATGATTCATATTTAGACAATGTGCAAGGTGACTCAACAGTTTGCAAATAACAGGGAACATTTCTGTAACCAAGTGTGGGTTATAGAAGAAATGAGAAATTATGGCCTGGAATACATAGATACAAGGGCAACAACTATTAAAAAGACATACAGCCTGCTTTTGTCCTGACAATTTTTGGCCCGATGGCTTCACTCCAGGCTGAGTCATCTAATCTGACCACAACATAAACATAATACTCTGTAAAGTCTTTCAGTCCAGTGAGCAGTGTAAATTCTTTATTGGATCTACTGCTTGTCTGAAATGAAACAAACATTTAAAAAGTATGTGTATTAATACTAATTTAAAAAATTACTTTGATATTCTCTTAATTTAATAATAATGACATTAAATAATTTAGTAATCATGATAAAATTGGCCCTGATGATTAAAGAAATAAAATGTCAACTGAATGAATAAATAGTTTGACTTGTGCATACAATAAAAACAGTGAATAGCCATTTTGAAACATGAAAAATAAATCAATACATAAAAAACAATTTTTAAATCATTTTTTATGCTACTGACATAAGTTTCTCAGACCAGGAGACCACAAGTTTTCCTTCCATTCTCCCACTCTTTCTGCCAATTTCCATTCTCCCACTCTTTCTGCCAATTTTCATTCTCCCACTCTTTCTGCCAATTTTCATTCTCCCACTCTTTCTGCCAATTTCCATTCTCCCACTCTTTCTGCCAATTTTCATTCTCCCACTCTTTCTGCCAATTTTCATTCTCCCACTCTTTCTGCCAATTTTCATTCTCCCACTCTTTCTGCCAATTTTCATTCTCCCACTCTTTCTGCCAATTTTCATTCTCCCACTCTTTCTGCCAATTTCCATTCTCCCACTCTTTCTGCCAATTTTCATTCACCTGTCTTGAGCTATAACTTCTCCCACTCCTCTCCTCCCCCCTCTTTTTCTTCACAAATTACAGTTTTTTATCTTGACATGTAAATTTTTTTGTTCATTAAATTTTATTAAAGCTTTGAGGACAGTTCTCTTAGTCAGTAACATTTCATTTACAATGGGTGATGTGTGAAAAATTAGTTAGAAAATGTTTACCTAAACATACCCTATTTTTAATCTCCCCTTTGGCATGATAGAGCACTGTATAATTTTGGTCGGCTAGATCCCAAGATAGTCTGGCTTTCCAACACACACGTAATTCACCCTCTTTATCTGTGCGCTCAACACTAAAAGTTTCAGGAGGCTTGGGTGTAACTGAAAGACAAACATTAACCTTTTAATTTTCCAGCAGTGACAATAACATGTAACGTCTTGTTAAATTATCAAAATATTAATTTTAATCCAGCAAACAGGTAATGAGATTACTCAAAATTATCAGGCAGAAGCTGTCATCTTGATCTAACACCAAATTCTTGTAACTAATTCACCAGGAAATGTGTAACACTGAGCTGGATGAGACAATTATTAACAATCAGATTCTAGGAGTTGAAGGTTTAATGACTGAAATCATTATGGGGATTGTGATCTTATTAGCAATACTAAAATTATCCTAAATTAATGAAGAAGCACTTTGAAAAAAATACCTGAACTTATAGAGATATATGGCAGGTAAATTAGACTTTGTGCACTTCCAACAGCATTTGTGGCCATAACAGAAATATTATAGTCACAGGCATCTAAGAAAGTTTTCAGAATGCACTTGAAATTCATTGTAGTGCTGAGAATGTTAACAGGCTGGCATTCTTTTATGTTGATCAACCTGCAGGCAGTTTTCTGACATGAGTTGTCAGGATTGTCATTGCACAATTCGATGGAGTAGTTCACAGGTAAACCACCAGACTAGTTGGAAGATGACCACAGTATCCAGACATCTGTAAATGGATAAACACCATAGATTTTGAGGTTTAAATTCCGTGGGAAACTTGGTGGATCTGGAAAGCAAAAGTCAGAATAGTTGATATTACTGTGTGAGTGTCCACGGAAATTGGCTTTAAATAACTAATTTATACCATTATATGCATATTCCTGTTTTCTATATATCTATTGCACTGATGAGGAGAATTTGTTTAACAATCACAAGCTTCTTTAACTGGTGATTGCTCGATTCAGGGTATTACTGTGAGGAGAAGTTGGTTTCTAATCACTTTAGGGACAAAGGGATAAAGTATCACACTTTATAATATAAAAGCTAATTGAAAAGGAGAATCATGAGGTTTGAATGAGTTAAATGCAATAAAGCCTTTTGTACATTTAAATTGAAGCCTACAAAATTTCTAGTTTGCTTATAAAAGCCCAGGGAATATTAGGTATTTAATGTGTTTTTGATACACAGTGTGTCTTATTACAAACTTAAATGTCTCAATAAATTTTAAACAAGTGAAACAAGCAAAATAACCGAAAAAAAAAAAAAATTCACAAAACACTGTTAAGTGAGTACCCAGCACTTGTGAGGTAAACTTTGATTTTAAGAACTTGACTGATCTAATAATTACTTTATCTCAGGTTGTTGGGATGTCTGCCATTGCTAATTACATTGATCCTTTTCAAGATTACTCTCACTCAGACAATCAGAATACTTTATCCACTGTTACCTCTGGGTTCAAACCATTTACTGCTTTTTTTAAAACATTTTTCTTTAAGTTTGTAATTTATCCATGCATGTATGTGGCTTAACTCAATGTTTAGTTTTGTCTTTCTTTTGAGATTTGGTGGAGTTCTGATATTAACATGGTGGCCATAATTCTTTCAATAAACTGCATTGAAATCATATCAAAAAAAATCTCAATAAGTATAAATTATATCAAAGTGAAAATAAACCAGATTATTACCTGCCACAGTAACTGAGATATTTACTCCCTGGGATTTATTACCAGATACTGGACCACACCAGTAAATTCCATCATCAGGTGCGCTTGCATTCGATAATTGCAACTGAACTATTGAGTTGTCAATTGTTTTACTCAGTCAGACAACCATTTGTCATTGTGCTTCCAGGATACATTTAGTTGTTTGTCCAAATCCAGATCTTACAGTGCAGTTTAACAGTCTGAAATACAGAGCCCCTTAAGGCAAAGTATGTATTGGCAGGGCTCCCTGGATCAGTTGTGACATATGCAGCTGAAATAAAAGCAGTGTCATTGTTATTTTCACTAAATTGATAATGATACTGTAATTAAGTTTCTGGGAGATTTCACTTGCCAAAGCCAAGGAAGTATAAGTAAACATCATATAAATCTCTAAATTCAAATACACAGTCATATATTAAGCTGACCCACTAATATTGCCTATATGTGATTAAGAACTAATCTCTAAGTCTAAAACCTACTCAATTCTTTACCATACAATATTAAAACATAAGTCTACAGCAATCAACTGATGAGGTCCTCTGCAAACATTCTTTAATTTGTCAATCTTATAAGCAATATTAGTGTGTGGTGTATGGAAAGTGAAGTACAGCACAGAGCAGAGAATTCATAGTTAGCATTTTGAAGTGAAGCAAAGTGGTTCAAAAGTCTGAATCTAAATCCTCCCAAGACCATTATAATATTTTCTTTAAAAATAAGATATCCATTTGATGAAAATACAGCAAGTTTCATGTTATATAACCATCACACAAATAGTGTTGTGTGACATTGTTCTCCTTTTAGGTAAAACAGTGAAATTTACTGCCAGTAGTACATGTACACTGTAGCTCTAATCATACACAGGCCAAAATCTGTTGGAAATTGGAAATTTAGAAAATTAAACAACAAAAAAAAAAGGTTTGCTCAGTCGGTTTAAAATATGTTTTACCAGTTGTGGTCAAATTAAGCAAGAACACTGTATGATAATTATACTAATTATAATAGAAATTTATATTATAATATATAACAATCATAGAATAAAATTTAATGTATGATGTAAATGCTGCAATAAACTGAGAAGAATCCTGGCACAATTAAAAACAAGAATGTTATTTTAACAAACGTTACTTTCAACAATTATGACATGGAAGGAAGATTGTTTAATTTCTTCTCTGAAACTTAAATTACTTCAATCACATATCAAGATTGCTACAAGCTGCACATTAAACAAGACTTCAAAAATCATCACAATTTTTTAAGGCTAAAAGATTTCAAGGCATAATAAAAGTTTAGGGATCTGATGATTTTTCTAAGTATGTAACATTTGCCCCCCCCCTCCCACCATTTTCAGCAACATAATTTGGCCCTCACAAGCTTACTTCTCTTACTTTTACAGATTACCCAACTGCACCAATCTGTTTCAATAATCTGCCCCATATTTGTTTAACATACTCTTTTTTGCCTGTCTCTCATGTCTTTGAGTTCAGTTACTCAGTTTAAAATTATAATTATACTTAAACGCCACATCACTGTTACAAATGTCACTGATTTATTGTATAAAATTTCATGAATTTGTCAGGATTTTTATAACATTATTAACCCTTATTGTTAACATTTAAATTCTTCTCACTGTTCTCTTTACATTTCATCTGGTACTGACAGGGAGAATTTGGTTGACAATCAAGAGCTTCCCAAATTGGAGATCATTTCCTTCAGTATTATTACCTTTACATTTGATTCAAGGGTGATATTGTAAGGAGAAATTAGGAGCCACTCATTCTTATCAGGTTAAAAAGTTATTTTAAAAAGTGATTCAATCCAAAAAATACTCACTATCATATTGTGTTCATCCAATTGTTTATATTAAAAGAAGTTGTGTCCATTCACCAACTCCAGTCTTAACAAACAAAGTCAGTACATATCCTACACCTAAAACCTACAAAAATGAACTGTGAAGCATGGTAGCTATGCAGTCCTTCCTGTTCTCTACTGTTTTGATTTTAGCTCTTGATTTCATAGTAGTTCTTTGGGTAAATTCCTCTAGTACTATTTCTGATGGAGAATCACAAATGTCAGGTAATAGGCTAAAACAGACATTGCAGCAGTACAGACTCCAGGAGTAATAAATGCTGCTGAACAACCAAAGTTTGAAGTCAGAAATGCTGTTACGGCAACAGAATTGCTTGTGGCTAGATTACAGGCAGCTGTAAGAAGACTTCACAGAGTACAGAGTACCCAAGTAAAATAGAGGTGCCATGCACACAGCTAATAGCTGATAGACATTCACAGATAAATATAAAGAGTTTCTACTGTTTCAGCCAAATTCATATAGGATGTAAAGGGTTTCAGTATTGTATCACAAGTGCTGTAATCTCATTGGTTACGCTATTTGCTACAGCATCTATTCTGTGATAAACAAAATAAAGCAAAAACACGAGCCCTTCTTGTTAGCATTTTGATAGACCAGTAGATAAATTTAAACATTAAGATTATTCGCTCTCGATCTTTGCGCATGATAGTAGCCTCTCTATATCGAATTCTTAATTAGAAAGAGAAAATAGATATCCAAGCTATGATGTATTCTGTAAGATCTGTAACAATAGATTATACCTCACCTTTCTCCTATTCCCAAATTTTGAGTATAGTTTAAGGTAGCTAAGAGCTCAACCTCTACTAACATTGCTTAAAATTTGCGAGAAGAAGGCTTTAAGTGAGCTTGTTTTGGAACGGAACTGTTTTAACCGTTAAAACAACATTAGGGATGTACCTTTAACACTTGTATGCCACTACTTGATACTAATTTTCTTGACCCTACTCATAATTACTATCGATATCGATATTGCAAATTTCCTCCTACCAACTGAAATTAATATTTTGATCAAAGTGATTTAAGTCTATTTACAAAAAAGATTTTTTTAGCTAAAAACTCGACTACGGTAGCTAGTCGATTGTTGCACGTGATAATTAAACTTAGTCTTTTCTTGTTCGATTCAGTTACATTTGCTGTGACTAGTATATAATTTTCTGTTGACGTTACTGTGTTTAAATACAAAAAAAGACAGTTAGATTTTGCCAATCACCCTTTCAAAATTTCGAACCACAAGTTTCTTACGTGATTACCCACCTCATAAGGAGAGAACCACTCTTTGAGTAATTTTGTATAAGGCGGCCTGAACCACAACCTTGAGCCAGACCATTCATGTTCCAGAGAAACATCAAAGGCCAGACGTTCCCAGTGAATCCGATAAGAACGTCTATCATCTCATTTAATAACATTCCCATCGTAGACATCGTTCTAGGACTCCGAGTATCTGATAATAAAGCCGCCCGAAAATTTTTCGACACCCTGATACATCGCTGCGAAACCACTCGTTACTACACCGAGTTCATTCTTTTTCAAGTTAAGGTCTCGTAT